TATATATATATATATATATATATATATAAATTTTCTCTAATACGAGTTTTGCACATAACTATTAATTTCGAATTTTACAATGCTAAGACTGCTCCTTGCCATTTCCACTTCAGAGACTACAAAAGAATGAGAAAGAAAGAGGAATTAATTTCGTAATATTCAGTGGTGCTCAATATAAATGTAAAACTTGCTGACAAAATTGTGTCATCATAGTTCATTTTAAATTCAACCTTCAGGAATTCAGCAAATGATCATGTTTATGTGAGATATCAGAAGAAAAATACAGATACAACTGGTTTTATTGCGAACTATTTGCAAAGTAGGGTATACCACTGTAACATTAAATCTATCCAATAATACATTCTTACTAATAAGTTAACAAAACCTTATATTGAGTTATCCCAAGGTTATGCCAACAATTATGTCATTGGGTTAGTTCATGAACGTTATCTACCATGAAAATTGTTTAAAATTGCTATTTTTACTTGCTTTTTATTTCCACTGAAAGAGTTGTCAAATTGTCAACATTTGAAAGCGTCCTTGGGAAAAGAACTTGTTCATTGACGACAATCCAATAGCAAGATAGTTCAAGCTATTATAGTCTAAACTGGAATACTATGAGTTGTGATGTAGTTGCATATAATTAGTGTTCTCTTTCTCTTTGACAAAAAAAAATAGAGCGCTGATATAAAGGATGGAAAATGTGTACGATGTACTTTTGATATAAGGGATTAACACTTTTCAATATTCGATTAGTCGTTTACGTGTTCTAGAAAGAAAAAAATAGCTGTAAATGCAACTCTCTTTTTATGCAGGTGCATGTCATGGCGATGAAATGGGTTACTTGTTCGATTTGGGATACGTTCAATTGAACGCTCCGAAAGATTCGCCAGCCGCCCTCACGCGTCGGCGCTTGGTTCGGCTGCTGACCAACTTTGCAAAGAACGGGTAAGTGAAAGTGAAGATTGTTTATTTTCTAATGACAGGTTGGAAGCTTTGCTCTGAATGCGATTTTAGGGAGGGGAATTAACGTATTGATAAATACGTAGATTGAGGAAAGCGTAATTGAAATGATCAGATTCATGTTTACTGCATTCAGGCAAATAGTTGAAAACGGACCAAACATTTTTATAGTTTGCAGCAAATTGGGCACGTTTATTAGATAACACTTTTGACTCACTAAGGAGTCAGGTCAATATATCTCACTTTTTATTAAACTTGTTTAATCCAACTAGGTTGACGTTGTTGGAAGTTTTAGTTTATTCTCAGTGTATACTGTAAAAAGATAATTCATGCAAAATTCCAAAACTTTGTTGCACATTGTGCACTTTCACTTAGGCAAATCTCAATTTGAGAATAAAAGAACAAGAACACGATGTGTGGATTTTTAATTCCTTACAGGATGGTGGTAGGTAAACGTGATCCCGTAACGCGTATGACGTCTGTCAATCATTTCTTTCAGGTCTGACACGCCATATAAAATTAGTCTCATGTTATATGTTTTGAAGATTTCAACTCAAAATTCTTCTAGAGTGACATGTTAAATAGGGCTGTGTTTCAACGACATGCTAATTTTCATTTACTGAGCACCAATTAGTGTACAGACACCACCTTCATCACGCACACTATTTTGACATCTTTCCACATAGACGTCATAATATATTTTCTGACTACTTTTCTTCAAACAAAAATATCTGCGAATTGCTATCGCCAATAAGTTGGTTAGACAGCCATCTCAGAGCACCTACATTTGTTTGTACAAAGCTATTTCTGAAAGACTTAATCTAATTGGTAAACCTTTATTGGCCAAGATTGCTTTTGGGGTCCTTTTGAAGAAACTTGCAATTTCGACGTTTTTTAGGCAGAAGTACTCTATAAGAAACAATGGTAAAGGACTTTTCACATTTCGAAGAGAAATCAGACACAACATAATTTAACCCGCTTTAAAAATGGAAGAAAAAACATAGTGCAATCGCTTTTTGAGGAATTCGCAAATTACTTACTTATTGGGAGTCCATACCACTGTTTACGTGCAATTACTAAATTTTGAGGAATATGTCCTTTAGCAATGTTTACTGACTTATCCTTCAAATCCCCAAAAAGGGGAAACTTGGTTTTAATATGTTGTGTGATTTCGCATCTTGGTTGCTTGGTATGTTGGAATCTACTTATAGTTTTCTAAGAGATGCAAATTGAAACGAAAACCTTGCTCTAAGATTTACATTGATAAGAAAACATGTGCATTTTGTTTGATGTGGCTTTAAAAAGACGAGACACTCAAAAACCATTCCTGTTTGTAAATGTCTACTTTAAGTTTGTTACTTAACATAAGAACTCGATATTTATATATTGCTGATACCATATTATTTTAAAGCAAAGTAATAAACCTTCTTTCTTACAGAGATCCAACGCCTGAAAAGGATCCTGTGCTGGATGTACGCTGGAAGCCATACACTACAGACGAGAAGAACTTTTTGAACATTGGCAATCAGTTGCAAAATAGCACAGACCTTAGCGCGAACCGTGCTGTATTTTGGGAAAAGTTTTATGAAAGATATGGATCATAATACGTGTTAGGTTACAATAAAGGAATATTTTCATTTTCACTGACTTTCTGTGTGTCTGCTCATTCTGAAGGGAAAATCGTCACCGAGACAGTCTCGAGAATACTGAGATGTGCATGCATTCTGGATACTCGATAAGAATTGTAAACCATCTAGAAAATCTATAGAACAAATTGTCCGTTGTCGAATATTGTATCTACGTCCAAAATTGGTTGTTATACTATAATTTTTACTAATGCTTCAATTCTGCGAGGAAATGACAATTACTACAAAATATGATAGTAACAAATATGACAAAAATACCTATAGAATAGGAACGTTGTATTAGAGAAATATAAAGGTGATAGAATTAAAAATGAACAATATCCACTTTTATTCCCTCTTTTTATAGAAGCTCAGAATATTACATACCTCATTATATTTACATGCAAACAGAAATTCCCTGTACTAGAATGCACAAACGTCATCGTACTCTTATTTCGACATAATATTACTTCTTTTAATATCGGGCAGGTTTCCATTTGCTTCGAAAATTGCTTCCAGAATTTGCGCCATGAATTTCACGAACTCTGCTACAGACTCGAGGGTAATTAACCTTCATTATCCTAGAAGAACGTGTTTATTATATCATTTAAACAATAATTTTTCAAACATATAAACTCATATTTCGGGACCCTGGTCACGAAAAAGAGGATCAAAGAGATATCATAGAACGGTAAAAAAGTGGTGCTGGTTCCATTTTTGGGGAACACTGTGTTTTTTAAAATTGAATAAAGTTAATATTTGCAAAATCTATAATTGAAGTTAGAGATTTTTTATTAAAAGAAATCTATTTCAAAAATGATATTTTTTAAAGAATTCTATGGACAGTTTTTGGAAATTACGAATGATTTTCAAGTAATTTCTTCTTGAATTTAATGCGAAGCAGTTTTTGAAAAACCGATCGAAATATTTTCTTCAATTTGTTTCCAAGTATAAAGCATAGGACGCTTAAAAGATTGAGCCATGTCTCATTTTCGTTGAATTCTCTGAATTTTCGAAAATTTGAAAAGTTAGAAATAATTAGTGGCGAATTTGAAGGGTAATCTGGAAGCCTTAAAATACCCAAATTACTGTTATGTCGTAATGTGCGCCATTTCCTAAATATTTTTAACTGAATAGTTAAAAAAATGACTCCTTTTCCCCCGCTCTCGCACGAGGGAATTTGCAGCCCGGTAGCTGAAGGAGGGTCCTGTGAGTGATTAGGCACCGGCTGGCTATGGCGCGAATGCGTACGAGAGGAGGCCAGCAACCTCCTCACTCGCCACTAATCTCGCGCCTAATCATTGGGCAGGGAGCCTAAGCTCACGGCTGGTGCTGACTTGGACTTCGATGCACATCTACTGCAAGGCTAATTCACCTCATCACCTAACGTTGTAGCAAAATAGAGTGAGTTGTTTGTACGTTTTTTATTCCCGTTTTCTTTTGAAAAACAATTGAATACATACTTAATGTTATAGAGAAATGTTCCATTGACTATGGCCCTCCATAACATTTTTCCGATTCACTGATATAGATAATGCAGTTTTTGCTCAAAATTCGGAATATGAGGAAGTAATATGCCTTTGACATAGAAATAGTAAATATGCATAGTAATATACCCTGTTAGAGACAATTGAAATATGCATCAGAGCAGGTATGACCAAGAATGAACTTCCAGGATCAGAATTATTTGGAAGACTCAACATTGTCTCTTTTAAAATTGCAGATATGTGAACCAGATAGAACGTACGTTTATGATTTTGAAAACTTTTGAGTTTATTAAAATACTTCACAAAAATTAGTTTTTCTACCTTCAAAGCGTCCTTTCGTTCATAAACTTTCCTTTCCTAAAAAACAATATCCATTCTTCGATAGTGAGCATCTTCAAAAAGATCTGATAGATGTATACATTGATAATTTAAAATACATGTGTTTAGATTTGTTGCTTTAATATTTTTTGCACAAAATGGTTGAGAAAAATTTCAAGTGACAGTTCAGTTGTTACAGTATAACTTTCCTTGTATTTACAGCATTATGTGAAATAAATATGACTACATTAAGGAGATCAAAAGTCAACACCGTCACCACGGGTATCTACTCACTCAAATATCAAAACTTACACAAATGCCATGTCAACTGAAGTGTTTCTCTCCAAGGACCAGACTATGATTATAGACTCGCAAGAACGTCTCACTGTTAAAGGTTACATAAACAGTCTATCCGACATTATTGACGACAGGGAAATAAGGTGCATATCAAGAGTTGCAAATAACAGAGTGTGTATCTTTCTAAGCTCTCAAACTATAGCTGACAGCCTTACGAACAACCATAAAGTTATTAAAATGAAATTAAAAAAACTATGAACTGAAGTTGAGACCACTTGTAACAAAGGCCAAAAGAATAATTATATTAACGTTTGTCCCATCATCCCACATTCAGTAATAGAGAATGTACGCATTACAAACAATATACAATTAGCATCTAAAGTTTTATTTTTAAAAGCAGGTATTTCTGCACAGGCGTTCTTCCACCTTTTGAGTTTCTGTAGACAAGTGTATATATTCTCAACTTCTCTTGAAGCAATAAGCAATATTCGCAATAATTACCCAGATCTACCAATGATAAATAGTACTATTCATGAAATATATAATGACATTATACAATCTAAAAAGACTCTAATAATTGCCGGGACACCATATTATAAAATATTGCCTGAAGACAACTCAATGTGCCTTGAGGAGAAAAGTATAAGCCTTGAAACAGAAAGTATTTTAAAAATATCACACACCTGCAAGGATTTATGGTCATATATCAAAAAAATAATGAATGACAAGTGGAGCAACGTCTGGAAAACCATGAAATCTAGCCCTCTACACAAACAAGTTAAATATTTTACTCTGTGAATACTTACAAAACATTCTCAAGAAAATATCAGGTAACAATAACAAGAATAAGAACTGGTCATTGCAAGTTCAGTCATCAACACTTGTTAACTGGAAATCACCCACCCACCTGCCAGCACTAGTATACCCTTCTTAACTTTCAACATATTTTAACCCAATGTCCTATGTTTCAGAAAAGCCGACAAACATACCTAGTAAGGAGAGCAAAACCCTGACTTTATGCTATCATCCAATGAAAATCAAATATTAAAATTCTCTAAAGACTGCAATATTCTCAAAGAAATCTAATTGCAAAAGGTATACTAGTATGAATACTGGAAACTAATATTGTAACAACAAAATTACAAATAATGTCTGTCTCCACATATTTATATATACAGTACTATATTGTAATGTTATCATATCAATATTGTTAGGTTGTATTTAAGGTAGTCGCTAATGACCACAGTTGTTGATGCGACTATGATAAACTTAAAAAAAAGGTTTTCAGAATTCCCAACTGCATGGTTTGAGCTTCGCCACTGGAAATAATGCGAGAAAAAATTTGACCAAAACTTCTTAGTTTGATTGAGTATTGAAATATTTAATTTCTGGTCAATGGCATGTTGAAGAACAAAGTGAATTCCAAGACCTACTTTCAGCGCATTAACGAGATTTTTCTCTAAAAGGTGAGCAAACATCTTGTGACCCATCACACCATCGATTACAAGCAGACGACCCACTCGTGGTTTGTTCATACCCCGCACAATTACACAGAACTGCCACCATGTTTCACGGTGGCAGTTCAGGGTTTCACGGTTGGCTGTTAACGGTCTAGTTCTGCACTCAGATTCCGTCATGCCCTGCGTCTCCCGTTGGAACAAAAAATGTTGCTTTTGCTCTTGTCTGAATATATTATTGAATTTCAAAAGTCGTGCCCTTTATTTCGGGTCTGTTCGCGTCAAAATGTAATCGCTTGCTGAACCCATCTAAATCATCTTCCGAGCGTGATATCGTTACCGCAGTGTACTAGTTGATACTTCGATCTTACGTTTTCTCAATACTTTTGACCATTTTACAGCATTAATAAACGGGCAATAAATCCTTTATATACATCACTGAACACTTTTCTATTTCTTGTTCCAAGGCGATTTTTTATGACCACAAAATCGATCAACTATTGATTGCACTGTTAAACGAGATCTATTTACAAAATCAGGTACGTTTTGCAACGATGTGAAGCCAGTAAAGCGAGATGATTGTGCCAGTTCATAATTTCTTTTCTTGCAGCGTCACTATGGCCGAGACGCATAAAAGAGGCATTAGAAATACACAGACGTCCGCAAAACATCAACGCAGACGCAGGCCT